TGTGTGTGTGTGTGTGTGTGTACATTCTGTGAGTGTGTGAAGTCCTGCAGCTCATTCTGATGTACAGGGATTTGTAGCGCTTGATGTCCTAATACTGTTTTTATTTCTCTCTCTGTTTTTAATGCCACTGGGATTATTTAGTCCTGCTGAAGACATTTTTTTATATATTTGCCCTCAGGGTTCCTTTGGATCCTTAAAAAGTCTTGGAATTTTTTTTTTTTTTTTTTTAAAGAGAAGGTCTTAAAAAATGCAGGACATGTTGCATTTTAGATCACATTTTGACTGATTCCTTTATGAAATCTATACTTTCTAGTAAACATTTAAAGATCTTTTTTAAATTCCTTTTGTTCAGGTGTTCAGGCAACGTACGGCAGTGTATTAAGCATGGCTTTAAAAAACTTGTAACTGAAGAAAGAATGAAATGCAAGTTTAAGAACCTGTCAGTAAGATGTGTAGTGAATGAAATGATAAAGTGACCTTACTATATGATCAGAGATTAAAGGGATACTTCACCTGTTGAAACATGAATCTGTATTGACATTGGGTCATATATGTAGAAATGTGAAATACATTTTGAAGTTGGTGCCTTCTTGGCCGGGAAAAGGCAGAAAGTGTCTTTTTGGCCCATGTGGATGAAAGACACCAAATCCCACAATGCACAGCACTGCAGGCCACTCCCACTAAGTTCAGGTTTACAGACATATTTACTACAACTCATGTGGCCATTTCCTCAACTGATTCAGAGACTTCTTCCAGAAGGAATTGACATCTTGTAAATTCCTGTCAGAAAACAGACTCTGTGTCTGTGTCCATTGGCAAACAGTGAGAGCACCGACACTACCAGTCCTGGGCTCCTCGTCCTTACTGCCGTGGCGGCCAGCAATATAGCAATATATCTGTTTAGTGCCAAATGAAATCCATTACGTACGAAGCATAAATGTTGTTTTATTTCCCTTTTTGGGTCTTAAAAAGTCTCAAACGTGATGTTAAAAAGTTTGCAGGTACTCTGATCCCATGTGTTTTGATGCTCATTATGTCGTGTTGTCTCTCTGGGTTACCGTAATTCTTAGCTCCTATAGCAGAAAGTAACACACGGTGCATCATGTCTTGTTTGAGTGCACATATGTGTCTCCTGAGGAGTCCACTTTTATTCAGACTGTAGACCAGGTTTATGGATGTCGTTACATGTGTAGGTGTAGCATGTCACAGGAGACCTGAGCAGTTCTATCACCCTCAGACTGTGACACAGCATGACAGTCAGGACCTTCAAAGACCTCAGAGAGTGTCGATGTTTGCTGTGAGCTTTCTCACATGCGTGTCATAAAGCTTAGACTGTCTGCTTGTCTTTTTGATGCTCCTCCATATTCTCTGAGTCTTTACAGTAAAAAAGAGAAAAAACCCACAGAGGATCAGCCCACACAGAAGATTAGCTTTCAGCATAAAGTGATTAATAACCCTCTGAGATCATCCTCCAAACTTTCTGTTTTTGATGTCTCTTTTTAACTTTGGTTTCATGAGACGTTTGAGCTGACCTGCTTTCTACTACTCTTATAAAACCGTCTCAGTGCTGATGGATGCTGTTTCGTCTGCTGTTATCATCGGCCCCAAAACCTCATATCAGTCGGCCTAGTTTAAACTATGCTCAAGCATTAAAGATTACCTGGTTCAGTTTCACCTCTTTTTAAAGCACTGATGAATTAAAAGAGTCGATTAATGTTCCTCAGCTGAGTGGACCGTCCACACGCTACGAGCATGTCTACTGAGAAGCTTACACTGACACAGCGGCCCATTTCTGTGCAGTTATAAAAACCTTGACGGTGTCTTTTGTCCTCTGTTTGTTTGTGTAATGTTATCTCGGGCCTCCAGCACTTTAGCTCCCTTCTTAAGAAAGTGTAAGCTTGAGTGGAGCTCAGTGTGCAGCTGCAGTCAGCCGCCGTGCAAACACAACAGGCTCCAGATGCCTGATAACGGCTGAGTGACATTTATGCATTTTTCATCCCACGGTTATTATTATTGACAAATGAGCTAAGGACCATTGATCAAGTCTCTGAAATCGACTGTGACTGTTTCCTATGACACTCAGTTAGGGTTGTCACAAGACCAGAATTCTAAACTTTGACACAATTCTAGTTAAAATATTAATACCTGCTTAAAGGCACCTGATGTTAAAGATCCCATATTCTCCTCATGTTCACCTTTCATGTCGTCAGTCTGTGAAACCTTCAGAGCAGCTTGGCATGATATGTAGCTCAAAAAACTCTTTATTTACCTGAAACTGGTGTCACTAAAAATCTCTCATTTCAGTTTGAAACGGTTTGCTTCAGCTGCTGTCTCTTTAAGGCCCCCCTCCCCACATGCTCACTTTCTGCTGATTGGCCAGCTCTCTGGAAGCCTGCCAGGGGGCAGAACGCTGCAGGGCTGCCAGGCTGCCAGGAGAGGGCTGCTGTCCAGTGCTGGGAGAAGAGAGTCTGATGTAAGAGGTTTCACCGACTTACATAGACTCTAGAGGCTTCTCGTGAAATCCTTGGTTTCTTATCGGGGAACAATCGCATGATTTGCAGAACAAGCCGTTTAGCGCCCCCTGCAGACTTATCCTGGGATTAGTCCAACATACGTTTACCTCATGATCTGACACCTTGCCCATGTATAGTATGAGAATCCAGCTTTGTAACAGTATAGGTGAGTTTTAAAGATGTGCATCAGTATAGTAGGTCATTTCTGCTTTTTGATGAACAACTAAAGCTTTCAAACTCCTGCACACTGTTCATAGTGATTCCACTACAATGTTGGCAACACATTGGTGTATTAGACAGCACTCTCTCTCTCTCTCTTCCTCGTGACAGCTTTGGGTTAAAAATATGACCTGAAGAAAGCTTTGATGCTTTGGATGTAATGCATCATTCAAATCTCAAAGATTATAAACACATGGTATTGAAGTCAGAGGATGTGTTTTGTTGGTTTTGATATTGTTTGTGTGAGTTAATAGTGACTGTTACAGAGGGAGTTGTGTAGGGGATAGTGAAGCCATGCATTTTAAATACACAGAAAAAGATGAAGCAGGTTGTTTAAATGCTCCGGGTTAGACGAGCTCCTCTCGGTGGTTGCTGACTTTTCACCCTCCAGCCTGATCTGGACTGACTGAGGCAGAGCCAAACACAGTCTGCTGTTTTCACTGCAGTGAGGAGTTGGCAGGGTGTGAAAAGGAGGCCAGCTGACCTGTGTTACCTGCCTCCCTTTCATCAAGTGTTACCACTGGGACTGGGACTACTTTGGTTTCCATGAAGTAGCTCACATCCTGTGGAACTGAGGAGTACTAGGCTAAAGCTTTAACAGAGGAAGTGGCTGAGAGGGAAAATCTTTTTTACTTTTCTAACAATCTGGTCCCAAACACAACTCTTCTAATCATTCACACTGAAATGGCACCTTTCTGTTCCCTAAAATTATGATGATGTCCAATAATTTGTACTTAATAATTTAAGAAAATATACCAGTTCAATAAAGAGGAGACTGACAGAATAAGCCAGTTAGCCTAGCTCACTAGGAGTTTCTTTTTTTCTCAGCTAATTCAAGACAAACAATAAAGGGAGAGAGTTAGCCTTGCTTTATCAAAAAGGATCCACTTTTCGACAACTGTAAATCTCAGTTTTCTGCAATTTGGTGTCCGTTTCACCTCTTCTACAATTCTACAATTTCAGGATCAATCCACCACAAAGTGCAAGAAAACACTTTAGATCTTCAGTTTAAAGAACAAAGAGTCATATCTGAATTTCACAAGTACGTTTGCAATATTACATAATCACAACAATGCCGATGTAGTTCTTCAATTTAGTTTGCAGGAGCTAATTTGATTTTTTTTGGTGATTAAAAAAAGAAGAAAAATACATAATGGTATACAAAGAGTTGTTATTTGTTATTTCTAAGTATCGTATCTTAATTTAAAATTCTGGTATCCTGACGACCTTATTGTGAACCTCGAATGAGTCTGTTTTGAAACTGTTGGCCCTGGTAGTTACCGTAAAGCTGCTTGTCTGAAAAATGTTCAATTCAACTCATTCAACTCGTTTCCACTTTGGTCATTTTGCTTGGCTGGATTCCTTTCAGGCTCTCCTGCTCCATTATCGTCTCTTTGTTCTTGCATTGATATTGAGTAATGCTCACCTTTTAGAGACTGCTCATGCTGCTTAATGCAGTCAAAGACGGAGAGAGAGAGAGCGTGAAGACATTCCAGTCGTGACAGCTGAGCTCCCGTTGGGAAAAAAAAAAACATGATTGATCTGGTTTCCCTCGGGGTGAAAAATGTCAAACATGTAAAGCTGTACTGCTTCATGTCATTGCTGGTAAAATAAAAACAAACAAACAAACAGTCAAGTCTTTCTCAAACATGGTGGGATGTCGGGTCTATAAAGTGGAGTCTGTATGGAGTGATGACACATACAGTAGACATGACTGCATACTTTTATCCTTTGTGTTTCCTGTTTGTGTTTCTGCCGGTTCAGTGCCCTTCCTGTGTCCTGCAGCCTCATTCCTGGACAGATAAGAGGTTGTTTTAGGTCGTGTCACTGCTGCAGAATGACTCGGGGACCTTAAATGACTCGCCTTTATCCCTTTTGCTGCTTTAATTGCTTGGCTGACCGGCGGCCAAACGTATGTTTGTCTTGTTAGAGAAGATCAGGGCCTGCGGCATTAAGAGGATGCATTAAGAAGAATGTAGACAATCTGTACTTGGTCTGATTAAAGTTTGTGATTGTGTAGGATTGGACAGCGTTGATATCATTGGAGCATTTAAAGGCTGTCCTCTTCTGTCCAGTTGTAACATGTAGGAGGTTGAACTATGTTCGGGGATTCACTGAGCTTGATTTCTCTCCTCTCATTGACAGAATGAAGATGTCTGAAGCCGGGAGTTAAGAGCCTCCGCAGGAGAGAGAGTGTCTTCCAGGGCTGGGGCTGGACCCAGAGACCCCTTACCTGGGGTGACCCCTTCACTGGGGTGAGCCTGGACCATGGGGGATGGAGCCGCCGGTGCCACTGGAGGAAATGGGGTGAACAAGTCCCACGTCCTCTTTGACAACTTCGTCCAGGCGTCCACGTTCAAGGGCACGCTCAAGGCCTTCCAGGAGCTGTGTGAGCACCTGGAGGTGAAGCCCACCGAGTCCAGAATCTTCTATCACAAGCTCAAATCTAAACTCAACTACTGGAAGGCCAAGGCTCTGTGGGCGAAGTTAGACAAGAGGGCGGGCCAGAAGGAGTACAAGAAGGGCCGTGCCTGTGCCAACTCAAAGGTAAGATCCAGGAAGCTGCTTTTTTTATCCTCAATGTCGTGGTATCAAGTTATGTGATGCTCAGCTTTACCAGACAGACCAGTGTGTGACAGCTTTATATGAATAGACAAAGCAGAGACACTTTTATGTCTCTGAACAAGGCAGGTCATCCTCTATATGGTCTTTGAATTCAATCTGACCCCTCCTCACGAGCTTATCTTATATCAGTTCTGAGGAAGTCCTCGAGAAAAGTCTCAGACAGATTCATCAAGCTGCTCTATAAACTGCTGATTTGTTTGCACCTCTGCTCTTAAACTGAAGATGCCATGTCCTCCTAAGCTGGACGCTCGTGCATGTTGTTCCTAATTCGAAAAGAAAACAACTCTTTAATGCTTGCTTAGTAAGGACAGGAGACGGCAGGGCTGTGTGCACACACACAGAAGTCACACAGCTGAGGGACTCCAGGAATGCCCACATTAAAATATAAATATGGAAGTTCACTGCAAATGTCAGACGACTTTAGACGTTCTGATATGAAGGAAAATGCTGCTGGACTTAAAACAATAACAGGCTGATGAATTGGAATATTTGGTATAGAGTCAATTTGTCATTATATAAAATGTTGAGTGCAAAGTCCTGCAGTGCGTCGAGTGTCCACTTGAGGCTGACTCCAGAAACACAGGAAGTCACATACACACAACAGGCAAAAAAGCAGTTCATACAGCATAAGTTAACATGTTTACAGCCTGGTACAAAAAACAGAATAGGTCTGATTAGTTATTGTCATCACTGGCACACACTGATGAACCGGTGAATTTTTTTTAAACGGCTCTGTTTTGATTTTATGAACGATACGTGTTACTTGTAGTTAGGGGCGTAGCTGACATGATTGACAGGTGGGCGGAATGTAACGGTTCATCAAGAGGCTTAAAACCCGCCTCAGCTCCAGCTCTCAGTCTGTCGTTAGGTTGACTGAAAGTTACACTGAGACAGGATTTCCAGCATGATGGCTGCTGCTGATGATTCTCCTGAGCCCCCTGCAGGAACAGATGGCTGACGTCACTCAGGTTTCATCCATTAATATTTACAGTCTCTGGTGTCCTCTAGCAGTGCTACTTTAACGAAGCTTGACCTTCACTTGTTTTAGCTTGCTTGTTGTGTCACATTACATTATTCACCATATATTGTTTGACAGATTCTTTTGTTGCAAACAGCTCGTAATAAAGTTATGAACTCAAAAGGATTATAAAAAATAATTTGAAGTGATATCCCCCATAATAAACACATGAGAGCATGTTAGAAAGTTTGATTGCAGGTGATCATTTCTAAGAGAGAGGTGAGATTGTCAGCATTGGGATGACAAAGTTGCAGTCAGAAAAACCTTGTTGTTTTCAGCTTGCTGCGAGTGACGGGCAGTCATCATAAAAGCCATAGCTCTCTCTCTTAAAGCCGGTCGATAACGTCTGCATCCCTCCGTCTGTAGTGTCTGATCATTGGTGCGGGACCATGTGGCTTACGCACAGCCATCGAGCTGGCCTTCCTGGGGGCCAAAGTGGTGCTGCTGGAGAAGAGAGACGCCTTCTCCCGGAACAATGTGCTGCACCTTTGGCCCTTCACCATCCAGGACCTCAGGGGCCTCGGGGCCAAGAAGTTCTACGGGAAGTTCTGTGCTGGTGCTATCGATCATATCAGTGAGTACACGAGTGAACGTTTTATCTCCTCTGCTTAAACCACGTCTATACTGTGTTTGACACATTTGAGGGGTTTTGTAGTTCACATGGCAGTCAGATTTCATCCTCCTTTTCTGTGTTGTTTTGAAGGTATTCGTCAGCTTCAGCTCATGCTGCTAAAAGTGTCTCTCCTGTTGGGCATTGAGATCCACGTCAACGCCGAGTTCAAGGGTCTCATCGAGCCCCCGGAAGATCAAGAAGGTGAAGGTAAGCGAGTCAAACTGCTGCCAGACGAGCTGAGGAGAAATGAACGCAGACTGAATATGTGTGATGTCAGAGATGTGTCTGTCAATGCCTCTAAGCTGGCTCTGTTGAGACATATTTTCCTGATTACATACTCTGTGTTTTTGTTAGGGATAGGTTGGAGAGCTGAGGTCCACCCCAGGACACACCCTGTCAATGAGCTGGAGTTTGATGTCATCATCGGAGCAGATGGAAGGAGAAACACGCTACCAGGCAAGGCTGCATGCTCTGACTCGGAGGAATGCTGGAGTTTAGTTTTTCAAAAGGCCAAACACACACACACAGCACTTTTTGTTTGGGAAAAAAAGATTGTGATCTCACTTGTGCACAGCCGTGATCCGGTACCTGACCTCACTCCCTTTCTCATAAATGAATGAGCACTTGTGCGCATTCTGTGTGTGTGTGTGTGTGTGTGTTTGTTTGTGTGCGGCTGCTACGTTCAAAGTGTGAGTCTGATGGCTCTCCCTGCAGAGTAGGAATTGTTGAATTGTCAGTCTGTTTTCCTCACACACACACACACACACACACACACACACACACACACACACACACACACACACACACACATACACACACACAGACAGCCGCACTGGCAAAAGGAACCCCCTGTGGAGTGAAGTACCATGACCCCTCTCTGTTCAGCTGACTGCTGCATCAGTGAAGGGAAGCAGCCGGCTCCCTCTGGGATAACCACGAGCTCCAGTCTCACAGCGTGAAACAGTAGATCGCTGTTTACATTGTCATGAAGCAGAACATCTGGTACAGTGTGTCGTCATGAGCTGCTAAACCTCGCTCAGTGATTTGAGGTTTGGCTCTCTTGTTTTTTCACAGAACAGATCTTGACCTTGAGGCCTGCTTCCTCGTTCTCTTGTGACTTTCCGCAGGGTTTCGACGTAAGGAGTTCAGGGGCAAACTCGCCATCGCCATCACTGCTAACTTCATCAACAGGAACACAACGGCTGAGGCCAAGGTCGAGGAGATCAGCGGGGTGGCCTTCATCTTCAACCAGAAGTTCTTTCAGGACCTCAGAGAAGCAACAGGTCGGTCTCAGAAAAAACACTGACGTTCTTTTCTTTCCTCGAGTGCTCGAGTTTTGGGATAAAGCTTTAAAAAAACAAATGAACAAATAAAAAAATGAACAGATAAAAAAACAAATGAGCACCGGTTTAGCTCAACCGGTGGAGCAGGTGCCAAATATACAGAGGTTTTAGTACTTAAAGCATCAATGATAGCAGGTTCCATTCTTGCTTTAATACATTTCTATTGTACTCGGTCCTCTCATATTTCAGGCCTCTCTTCAGCTGCCCCAAAAATTGCAAAAAAAAAAAAAAAAAGATAAAAAATGTCTGAAATGTAGGATCTCGAAGTGCTTTTATAAAGCTCCGATCCTAAGGCCTGTGTTGGTGAAATGAAGGTAAACAGGACAACAGTCTGTCCCTGACTCGCTGTTCCAAATTTGTCAGCTCATCTGATTAAAATGCTTCACAATCAGATGAGCTGACCAACAGTTTAATGCTGACGTGACAATGTCCCAGGGGGCTTTGCTTCTGTGCTCTGAGTCGCGTAATTTCTCCTCTAACGACGACACAAACGGCCAGCCGGAGCAATAAGGAAAGCGATTCTGTTTGTTGCTTGACAATGCATCTCTCTGCCGCTCTCTGTAGGTATTGACCTGGAAAACATCGTCTACTACAAGGACGACACGCACTACTTTGTGATGACTGCCAAAAAACAGAGCCTGCTGGAGAAAGGAGTCATTCTGCATGTGAGTCATCAAAGACCAGAGCCTGGCGCCCACCGTGTGTTGTGTTGGTTTCAGACATGATTGTGATTCTCTGTCCGGCTCTCTGCTGCAGACATGAAGTCCATCCGCACGCACACAGAGAGAAAAACAGTCAGTATGTTTACATGGTGTTGAAGTTGATTTATTGTGTCAGACTGGACTTTTAAAATACATTTAAACACCTTAGTGTGACTGAAAATGTACCACATTTTGACTGCAACATCTAGACATCGTCTGTGGAAGTTCTGAGTCAGCCAGGTCATGGTACATTTAAAGCTTGATTCAAAGGCTAGCTCCAATGACCCCAAAGACCCACAGAAGACCGGTGGTGTTAATGACTCTAGGTGAATCTAGGTCAACGACTCAGCTAACGACTCTCATGTGAGTCATCCTTGATCATTAGCATGCTAATGATCCATGGAGGCTAACATTTCCAACTAAGTCCACCAGTTATTTTAGAAACTGAAGAAACCTTTCGGAGCATGGGGGGAAGTCAACCAATAAATTGCGACCCAAATTTCTGATATTTTTTCAAGCAATTAGATTGATTTATTTTTAAAAAAGTGGAGGTTTGGACCAAGACGGTACAAACAACAAAAATACTTTGCTGCACCGGGCTTTGACCCAGAAGTCCCAACAGCATATATGCGTTGAAGAAAGTAAGACAAAAGTATGAGCATGTCGAGTGCGAGGGCGAGAACCACGCATTTATGGACGGACGAGGAGACACAGTTTATGTTGAAGGAGTTTGTTCACATGCGACCAGTTTGCTGCTTGGTGACTTGTTTTTTATTTTTTTTAATTGTTTGGTATATGATGCAATAGGTCAACCAGAAGGAGCTCCAAAAGTGACTAGCTGTAAGGTGAATACCGCCACCTACTGTAGTGGAGTCGTGCATGCTGTCATTAATAAATCGATTCTCTCGCGGTGCTTGTAAACTGAGACACGGACATGAGTCAAGTTAAATCACATCACCGATCTATGACCTTCACTTTACCGTGCAGGTAAACAGGCTGACTTTCATTTAATCTGTTAATACAAACTGTTACACGATTAGTCTAACAAAGACAGCCTTCAAGGACAAGCGGCCGACTCAAGCACACTAACTCCTCACACTTGTTTCCTCTTTGCTCGACCACTTTCCACAGGAAACAGGAAAGACCTTTTTTACAGTCTTTGTCATGTACACAAGTAGTTAGAGCGATTTTTTTGTATTTAATAGCCTTTTATTTTAATTTGTTCTAAATCTAGATACAGTCTTGACTCTTATTCAGATCACTTGAGCTCTTCCCTGAGCATGTGTATGCAGGTCTGTGTTTGTTTTCACTGTGAGCTGATGGTAGAGGTTTCTGTATGAGCTGAAGTCTGAAGCCAGAGGGGATGTAAGGGTATGCAGCCACACATAAATGAGAAGTCATAATTTACTGGAATAATTACCTCTGGAAGTTCCCCTTTAATAAAACGTCCTAGACATATCCTTTTATAGCAGTCATGTTGACTCAGCCCTGCCCCTCGGAGAGGGTGAGAGGAAGGATGGGGGGGAGGCACGGCAGAAATGTGACGAGTCGTCACAGTTCAAGGCAACACCACAAGTCAGAAAACCAAACCACCCCTCATTCATATGTTCCACTGCCCTGCCTTTCCCCTCACCCACCCTCAGCACCATCAACAACCAGGGAATTTAAAGTTGGAAGACTGTGCTTCTCACCGCCCTCTGTGAAAACATGTCGTGATGAAAGTATGCAGCGATTTGATGCTACATGTTGGAGAGACTTGTGAACTGAACGGTTTATTCCATTACAAGTGTTTGGGCCTCTTAGTAGAGCTGTTATGAAGTCTAACAGGGGCTTCAGCATATAAAGCCTGTCCAAATTCTATTCTGAATCTATTTAGAGGAGAGTCCAATGCCTGAATTGCACAAATACCTTTGTAATGTTTTGGTACCAAAAGACTTCCCCTCCCCCTCCAGGCCTGAGCATAGTTACCTCTTGTACATAACGTCGTCATGAAGCACATACGTAGTCTTGAAGCATGCTCAGCTTACAAGACAGGTGGACAATCATAAAAAAATACAAAAGGGACTTATTTGTGGCTTATTTTGAGTGGTTTTGGTCAGATACCACCGTAACACTCCGGGATTTCTCGGTAATGGAGAGCAGTGATCGATTATACTTCATGTCCACGTTGCGGACCTGTACTTGTACTTATGCATGTACTGCACCTTGTCAAAAAACACTACTTCTAACCGTGCCAGGGCCAAGGGAGTGTACTGTACTTGAGCACGGATCTGAGCACTCACACTCGTCAAACGAGTTGGACATTGGGGGTCAAATGTGCTGGGGCATGGTACAGATTATGTAGTGTGAGAGAGCGCTCTCAGACATTGTAACCTTGTTTCAGTGTCTTATATTTTCACAAGATCTAATCCTTCATCTTTATCTAGATCGTTCTGAATAATTACATTTCATATTGGACTGCAGTACCCATTTTAAACACTAGGGGTCAGAGTTACATATTGCTCCTTTAAAGTCTGGGTAAGTTAGGTAGGATTAGTTTGAGGACCTAAGTTGTGTCTCATTAAATGTTTTAGTTTTTACCTAAATGGTTCCTCTAACCTTCTCTCTCTCTCTCTCTCTCTCTCGTCTCTCCCGCAGGACTACGCAGACACAGAGATGCTGCTGTCCAGGGCGAACGTGGACCAGGCCGCGCTGCTCTCTTATGCCCGCGAGGCTGCAGACTTCTCCACCAACCAACAGCTGCCCAAGCTGGACTTCGCCATCAACCATTACGGCCAGCCCGACGTAGCCATGTTCGACTTTACCTGCATGTACGCCTCAGAGAACGCCGCCATGGTGCGCCAGCGCAACGGCCACAAGTTGCTGGTGGCGCTTGTAGGTGACAGCCTGCTAGAGGTGAGGGGTTTATCGTTTCATCACAGCTCCATGGGTTTGTTCTTTTAAATGCTCGAGTCCTCTGTGGCCATATTTGGTTGTTGAATGTGGTCTTGGCTGTTTCCCCCCCTCAGCCCTTCTGGCCCATGGGCACTGGCATCGCGCGAGGATTCCTGGCAGCCATGGACTCCGGCTGGATGGTGAAGAGCTGGGCTCAGGGAAAAACTCACCTCGAGGTTCTGGCTGAGAGGTGAGGATGAGGAGACACTGATGCACACACACCAGACTCCCCCTGCTGTTGCACACACACACAAATCCATGTTCTCTCTCTTCAAACACGCCCTTTTATCTCTAAGTGCTTTACCAGGAAATGTGCCTGTGTGTGATTTGGAGCATCAGTCCCACCTCTGCTAGCACTAATGCAGTAAGAGGTTCTGTTAAGAGCTAAATGGAATGTGACTCCTCCACTGTGCAGTCTCTCTCTGCTTCATAACAATGTTCATGTTTTCTTCTCCTCTAACACTTTCTCTTTCTGCGTTCCTCCCAACAATAACACCCTAAATACTTTTCTTGATTTTTTTCCCCCCTCTTTGCTTCAGGGAGAGTATTTATCGTCTGCTGCCCCAGACCACGACAGAAAACATCAGTAAGAACTTCAGTCACTACAGCGTGGATCCCACCACACGTTACCCCAACATTAGCCTTAACTTCCTCAAGCCCAGCCAGGTGAGTGTCCAATATTTGAGTCCTCAGTACTTAACATGATGCGATATATATGAATTTGGGATGTGTAGTCATTCTGTGTGTGCGTTGCAGGTGAGGCATCTGTGCGACACGGGAGAAACCGGGGAAATGCGCATCGAAATAGAGAACGTGATCAACTCCTCAACCCCCAAGCTGGCCAGGAATGGTTTGTATCTTTCTGCTTGTTCATAAAGATTAAAAAACAGTTCGATGAGAGTAGGTTGTTTTCTGCAATCACTGATGCTCAATTGTAATCATGAACTATTTTCACTCTAGACAATTTTCTGCTTGACAAGCAGCTGCAAGGTAACACAAAGCCCAAATGCATGGTGTTGCTTTTTCAGGGATTCCTGATAGTTCTAACAGGTTTAATGTTTACCTGCCGTGCACTAAAAGGACCAGTGGAATGATGGAACATGTTGATGGACCTATTGCAGCCCCTGAATTTATTAATGCCCATACTAACCCAATCTTAGACACATTCAAGCTTCCTGGTTCAATTCAACATATATTGTCCATTAAAGATCTAAGCTTGATCCAAAGACAACTGTACCAGAAGCCGGGTACACTCTAACCATTTTGGACCCGATTCCCCCCCTTCTGACTAAAGTCAGCAAAGGTCCAACTATCAGATGCTTCCAAAGATGATCTGTCCAGATTCTCCCGTGGTGTGAGGTGTGTTAAGAGTAATTTCAACCTCCCCGATCTGCTCGGAAGAAGGTCGGGGCCGCCCCGATTTGAGATCGTAGAAATGTGACAATTCACAGAGTCCATGCTCGGCTGTCCTCAGTGTTCTCCCCACACTACAGGACAATAGCCAATAGGAAAGCAAGCTGACTGAAGCAGGAAGCACAACAAACATAACCATGGCGACGACAGCAAACGCGAAGCATAAAGTTAGATGGATGTCATAAATTCAACGTGTCTGTAAAACAAACCACAAGCCAATTGCAAAATGTTTACCGTAATGGATGTACGGCTAACAGCTAGCCACATGTAGCTTGACTCTCTTGTTTGTTTACTCATTATATGCGTTTGACCGTGCGAGATTACGAGTTTTGAAAATCGAGACTGTGGTTGTTGGTGAAAGAGTAGGTTGGTGTGTGATGTGCTGAGTTAGTCATCTCGTTGCTCTCCACACACTATGAGATCTGAAATGTTAAATCTGTGTGGACTCTCTCACATTTTCAAAATCGTCAGAGACTTTAAAAATCTTCTCGTGTGGCCAGGCCTACATTGAAGAGCTTAAAGATGTTTCACCCCTCCTCCTAAATGTCCACCAGTTATTTTAGACTGAAGAAGCCTTTCAGAGGAGAGGTGAAACATCTTCAACTACAGGTAAGTCCAGTTGCCTTTGGATCAGGCTTTGATTTCACCATGACCTGGATGCCTGAGTGCCTACATTAAAGACTTCTGCATCCTCTCCTAACATCTCACTTGCATCCTTTTTCCTCCCTTACACCCGTCATTTTCTCACAGTTGGTAATGTGTCCTTGCTGGCTGTTTGAAACCCGTACTAACATGAATTATAGATGAAAAACTTTGCAATCCTTCGCTCAGCTGTGCCCTGAACATGGCCATGAGATTGCCCAAGCGAGAGATGTGTAGTGCTGCCCAGAAACACAGTTTACATCCAGATCCTGTTTAATCTGCTGCCTTTAACCCAAACCTTTCATTTTCTCTCTCTGCCATACTCAGAATCCATAGCTCGATCCAGTAAGCTGCTGAACTGGTGCCAGAGACAGACGGAGGGCTACAGGAATGTGAAAGTAACAGACCTCACCATGTCTTGGAAGAGCGGTCTGGCCTTGTGTGCGCTCATACACCAATACAGACCTGATCTCATGTGAGTTTCTGGAAGTCAAACGCGTTGGTAAATGTGTCAACTGTGCAAGTAAACATCCGCTACTCTGCAAAGTGAAAGGGTTAAATCTGCGGCTGAGTTTGGAACGACCGGCCGGGCTCGGTTTATTGTTTGAGAATGATGTTTATTGTCTGGTTGGGACCTTGGTTATTCGGTTGTTTATCACTGTAAACGAGGTGACAGCTACCAGTCAGAATAGCCTCTCGGGCCCCTTAAGGGAGCGCTTCTTATGTTCCTGCGTTCTCTCCCACACACACACACACACACACACACACACATAACGACACACACATAGACACTGTACTTACCGTCACACACTGGATAAACAACACAGTCTCCATCCGCATGTCTAATGTAGTTTGTTTCCCTCTGGAGACAAGGTGGCAATTAACATCATAAGCTATTAGTGTGTGTGTGTGTGTGTGTGTGTGTGTGTGTGTGTGTGTGTGTGTGTGTGCTGCTGTCTGACCTTTACAAGGCCGTGTAGCAGTTGTGCTCTGCTGCCTTTGATGGCCACATGATGGGAGGAGGTGGGGGGGTGATGAGTGGAGGAGGTACCATGGGGATAACTGATCCCGTGTGCACGTTGAGGAGACTGATGGTTGCGAGTGTTTGACTGAATGTTTTCATGCTAATGCTTCAGAGTGGGCTTTACGTGCAGCTGAGATGTATCGATGATCACTGTTAATGGTCTTTTCAGCCGCAGTGTAATGACATTTACAGTAATGCTTTCCACAACATGCTCAGCAGCAGAGATGCTTCATGATTAGTGCTAAATGCATCCTCAGTAACGGGTCAGTTCCATTATCTCCAATAGGGCTGTGTGATAAATCCAAATGTCGTTGTGATCGCAATGTGAGCATTCACAACGAACACATAGCAAATAAAAAGTAAGATGACAATCCAGTTTGATTAGAATCATCTGAAAAGTGTTCAGTAGTGAATGTAGTGAATGTGTCGCCTTTTATTTAGTAAAAAACCCTGTCCTTTATCTGCCCCGTCTCATCCTCACTTTGTCTCTCTCTCTCTCCTGCACTCAGTGACTTTGATTCCCTGGACGAGCGAGACCAGGAGAAGAACAACCAGTTGGGTTTCGACGTGGCGGAGCGGGAATTTGGCATCTCGCCCTGCATGACTGGCAAAGAGATGTCCTCTGTGGTGGAGCCCGACAAGCTCTCTATGGTCATGTACCTCAGCCAGTTCTACGAGATGTTTAAGGACACAGTGCCACCCGGAGGTGAGAGCGGGTGTTACAGTCGGGCTGCTTCCACTGTGATCTGGTTTTTCAGAGTGTACAGATGTTGTCTTCTGACAGATGTAGTTATAACATAATTATCTATTACCCTGAGAGGATTTGAAGTGCTTTGTCATGCTCTTAATCCTTCTTTTTTTTCTTCTGCTCAGATAACCAGAACTTGAGTCCAGAGGAGAAGGCAGCACTGATATCCAGCACCAAGTCTCCCATCTCCTTCTTCAGCAAACTCGGTCAGAGCATAGCAATTTCCAGGAAACGAAATCCCAAGGTCAGAGTCTCAGAAATGTCTGTAAACCCCCCCCCCCCCCCTTGTTTGAGCCTTAACATTTAATGCTTGTAGCAGGAGAAAGAAATAACTTGTGATGTGTCACCAACAGGATAAAAAGGAGAAGGATGTTGACGGTTTGGGGAAGAGAAGAAAAACGAGCCAGACTGAAGAGGTGAGTCGTTTCTGACAGCAAAGCGCCTCCGATGTTGAGCTGGAGATGAATGTTCGAGCGGTCAATCGAATCACTCCCTCCAGACTGACAGCAGCAGGCTAACAAATGCCACTGTTTTTCTTCTTTGTCACAGGAGGAGGTATCCAGGAGCGGCCGTGAAGACAGGTCAGCCGTCCTGTCGGAGAGAAAGATGGACTCCTGCGCCGGGGGGAACCACAACAAAGTCAAGGTCATGGCCACTCAGCTGCTCGCCAAGTTTGAGGAGAACGCCCCGCAGCCTTCAGGACTAAAGAGACAGGTACGGAGGAAGGGATGTGGTTCCTTTGAGAAAGGAAAAAAGCTTCAATTGATGGAGCAGTTTTGGTACTTTTCTTTCATGTGGTGTGTTTTTCCTCCCTTTCAAAGCCTGATGATAATGTGGATTTCATGCTGTGCAGAAGAAGCCACGGCCTCTAGTCTCATGATTGCCAAGCCGTAGGCCGCTGCTTTAATGAGCCCAGGTCCAGAATGCTAATAATGGGCAGGCTGGGTATTGTTCTGGGTCTCGTAGGCAGCCTCACAGTGCTGACTGAGCTCTGAAGGCTCGGGGTGAATCGGTTGACAGAGCTTTGGTTTGCTCGCTGGGTGCAGAGTGGGAGGGAGGAGTGGGCTACAGGACACTAGACAGTATTGTTGTCCAGCTTCTGCTGTTTGAGAAAATGTTTCTTTTACTGGGTTTCGTCTACGAGCTCATTCGGCTTGGACTGATTCTTAAAATCAGTGACGATTATCAAGTTAGTAAAAAACAAGTGAGCAAAGGTTGTCTGGATTTTTGTTATTTTTTTGTCGTAAGTACCAAAGAGCACCAAAGTTATGAAAGAAGAAACAGATAAACAGTCATATTTTCAACCTAAAGCTGCAGCGAGAAGAGAGAGAGAGAGAGAAAGAGAGAGCGATAGTACAGTGTTGGGTGATCAGGTAGAGAGAGTGAGCGCAAATAGTTACAAAGTGGTGAAAGAAGAAGAAACAGAGAAAGAAGATGTGATTTTCTGATTGTTTCACAGCGCTTCCATCTAAAGATCGTAGAAACACATCAACACCTTCACACAATCATGCTGGATTTTGTTTGATTGCTCCTGAAGTCACTCTCCTTTGATTCACTGGTGGGAAAAACGTTTAGTCCCCTTAGCATCTCACCAAAATGCCCACGTTAGTGCAAGTGTCTGTTGCAAACAGATAGAGAGCGCAGGACTGAGACAGCGATGTCACCTGGTACCTAAATGTTTGTTTATAAGTCTGTGGACTGTTGACTGTGAGCTTTAAACCCTGACACAGATTCAGTGTCCTAAATGAGAAAACACAGATAGAGAGCAGAATTAGTGTACATTATTTTAAGTTCAGGAAAATCTTTTTTATTTTAAATTAAGATTTCGGCCGATATCAGCTTATCCAGTGACTACTGGTATCGGCTAATTTGATCTCAGATATGCGCAGTTATTACTTGATTTATTCACCAGTCAAAAATAGCATTTCATTTGAGTATCATTGTATTACACGAGCAGTTCTCTTTCACCAGCAGGGGGCGCTGTATGGATTACATCAAGCATCATCTCTCTCTAGAATGTCAGGCGTTGATGCATGTACATGTTCAGTTACTTACCAGCTGAGTGACCATCTTGAATTTGTTATAAATCTTTTCCACAAGTGTTTGATAACTGCATTTGAGGGATCAACACAATACATGTGTATATCTCTATTTCTATCTCTACTGTAGATCGAAGAAAGATAAATCGGCCCGATATCGGTATCAGCCCCAGGAATCCCATTTGGGTCAGGCTCTAATTAGCAATGTGTCAAATGTTAGTTCATAGTCGGTGACTCTTTCTAATGTGCAGGTCAGAAATCAAACATAACTTTATGAACCAGTTATTTGTGCAAGGAGGTCATTTTTTGTTTCCATGGTATTTGCATCAATATTGTTTGATTTTTTTTACCGTCATTGTATCGAAAGTCAGACTTCTTGTATCATGACAAACCTGCAGAGTAAAATGAAGGTCTGTGTGAATTTGAAGGATAAATACTGCAGCAGCTGCTTTGCTAAAGACGCTTTGGGAAGCTTAATGTGTGTCCTCTATTTCAATGTTTTTATTGATGTTCATTCTGCTTGACATTTGTTGAGTTCCACCTCCAGTGTTGTTCTAAACTCTCAGCATGATCTTCTGAATCTGTCATTTCCTCATGACTTCTGAACACATACTTTCCAGCCACCGTGACCCGGTCCATCATTCACTTCCTTCTCTCTTGTTTTTCCTCCTCATTTTCCCCCCTCCCATCGTGGACTCTTGCATGACGCCTTGCATGGTCACTCTGGCCTCTTTACCGGCCTCTGCTCGCTGTCATTCATCTGACCACAAAGGGGGACTCTCTGCCTAATCTGGACCGCCTTTTGCCCCCGTCCCCGCCCCAAACCCCCATGAAAGAGCCAGTGCGCCTGGCACCTGTCCCCGCCTGGAGAAAGGTAAAGAGAGGAACCGGCCCACCTCAACCCCCCTTTAGAGACTAACAGCTAGTCTAACCATCTAACCAGACCACCTCGTAGTTCGTCATAGTCCTGGAAGAAACTTTGTGTACTAGTCTGAGATCACCTTCTTTGTAGAAGTCATTAGCTGCTGTTGTGTGGTTAACAACTTTGTGAGTGATTTGAACGTCTCAGGCAAACAGCTTACAGTGTGTGTGCAGTGTTTGCAGTGAGTGTGTGTGTGTGTGTGTGTGTGTGTGTGTTTGTTTGTGTGAGACACATAAGATTGCACAACCATCATGGTTTCTCCCGCTTGCTTCTCCCCTACCTGGTTCAGAGACGCACACAGCAGCAGGAGCAGCTGAGCCTCCGCTACAAAGAAATGGTCAAGTGTCAGACCCTGCCAAACAGAGGGGAGCAGGTACGCTTAAACACCCCGGCCTGGTAGTCCAACAACTCCTTCCACATCCCGTTAGGTTCAGATCCCCCCCCGCCCCCCTCTCCCTTACAGGTGGAAATGGATTAGCCTTCAAATCTAGAAGAAAGATGGGGAGGGAAGGTAGCTTCACTGAGCCAGGCCACATCTTAAAAAAGAACTGCATGTGCCGCGAGCAGTCAAATCAATCAGCCAAAACATCGGGGGAGTTCAAATGATTCATGACTCTAAAACCTTTCCAACAACCATGTGTTAGAAACATATCGAATAAAACATGGAGCCTAGTGTGCAGTGTAACAGATCCACCCTAAAAAGCAATGACAGCACATCAGGTGGAGAGTTTCTTAGTCTTAGTTTAGTAAAAACAAAAAATGACACAAAGCAGGATCAAAAAATGTAGACACCTTAAGTTTCAGACATGAAATGTTCATGTGGAAGAGTCATGTATAACACAGAAACAAAAATATTGTACAGGCACCTTTTTGTAGCTGTAGTGTTCCAGCTAAAGCTACTAGGAATGTGCACGGCTACACAATTAAACATTATAAATCGTTTGTTGCCAACAGAATAATAAGTCGGTTATACAACTTATTCATATTTTTTTTTAACAATTGTGGCCGCCTGCCACTAGGTGGGGCTGTAGCTCAGGTTAATGTGTACTGCCATACTGCCTTAACGTGTTACAACCTGGGTATAAACCAGCGCCGAGAATGAATTGTAGCGCGTAGCATGGAGCAGTTTGCCAACATTATTACCTGGAGAGGGTTGCAGCTGCTCGTCTTTTTTTAAGTTGTCCGTGCATCTTTTTAAAGGAACCTTTAAAAACAAGAAAAACGTAAACAGAAGCAGAGATTTTTCCTTCCATGATGTCTACCTTCCCCGTCTTTCTTGGTGCCTGTAATCATGACCTCAGAGCGTTTCTCTGCTGTCCTCCTGAACTCACTGTCGGAGTAGATAAAGTAGAAGTAGATGAAGTCAACTGGCCATTTGTTAGACACCAACTTAACTTGTAGGTATGATGCTTCCTGATTAAATAGATCCAGTGCACCCCCGTCTGCAGCCTCATTAGGAGATCAGTCATAAGCAGCTGGTTGTCATCCTGCCTCTCTGTTCTCTCCTGTTAATACCAACATCAGCACATTCAAGTGTCAGATCCAGATAACTCCTGCTGATGCTGAGAAAGATGTCTGTTTAATGACTTTTAATTTAACTGCACACTCCCTGTCGGTTAGGGTTCCTCAGTGGGTTAGGAAATACAATAAGAGTCAGTGTGATGCAACTATACAGTTTATTACAGTTTATGAGTATAAATCCATACAAATACCGATGGTACAAATCCATTTAATGAAAATAAATAATGCAATACCTTTTTAAACCAGTAGAGGCCTTTTTTGGAAAATTATTATCAGGGTCACTTTTTAGAACAACCTCAAAGTGAAAAAGTATTACATTAATAAAGTTAAATAAGGTAAAGGAATGTTCTGAATTTTTAAAGGAAGATCGTACAGCTTTTTGATCCAGTAGATGTCGCTCTTGAGCTCCAGCATGAAACCAAAACAAACTGCTGTTTGGCCACACCTCCTCCATACTGAAGCCTCCGCTCTCCTCTCCCCTCCACTCGCATTGGCACGAAGGACTTCAGTGCAAGTAGCGTCCAACACTGTCCTCTGCTTGAGCTGCAATAACCTGTGTCCTGCATTGTTGTGTTAGCAGGCTAAAGTTAGCGCTCGTTTGATCCGCCTGATTTTTCTAAACTTTGATTAGTTTGCTCATGACAGTATAAGAGAAAGTTTAATAGCAGGAGAGGCGTCCACTAATATTCACAGTCTGTGTTTCTGACACACTAATACTATTAACCACTCAGCTTGTGATCAAATGATTTCAGCCCTCAGCCAATCAAAATGAATCATGCTTCTGTGAGCTACAACAAGTAGGAAGCGTGTTGACTTTCATGAAACAGCTCATCATTTTCTCCTTCACTCCTTCATCATCTTCTGCTGGATCTCATGTTCCTGTTCCTTCATCTCTCAAGGCCAGAAGCTGTGCGGACCAACTGTCCAGCTCGGGCTCTCGGAGCTGCCCAAAGAAAACCATTCTGCTCCCTTCCTCCTCCTCCACCTCCTCGCTCTGTCTCCACTCAGAGGTGACGCATAGTCTGCTGTGTCGTCTGTTTGTCTTCCTCTTTTTTGTCTCTCCAAGAGCATCTTTTTTGTTGTTGTTGTTGTTTGCTGTAAGTCAGATTGACCCGTGTAGTGAGTAGTGTAGCTGAAAGAAACAAAACACAGCATTTCCCCAATGAACTTCCTGGAGAGGAAACAGTCCTGTTTACTTCTCTGTGAGTAGGTAGTGTGTGTCATTATCAGAGGAGAGGCTTGTTTTCATGCTGAAGGGTGTGTCGTCGAGATGTGAAGGCTTGTGAGTAAATGCAGTCTCGGGGGGGATGCTGGGTAGTTTTTACTTATTGTCAGGCGCTGTCAGAGAATCGGCAAAACAAGCTGTTCTAAAACAAGAGCTTCAACAACTCCTTTTGTTAGAATCTGTTTTGCATCCAGAAAAAAAAAAAAAAAAAACAAAGTGCTGATACGGTGTGTGTGTGTTTCTGCCTTCAAGCATTTGTGCAGAAGTCCAGAGGAAGAGGAACTTGAATACTACGAGATGCCTGTGAAACACGGGGTAGAGTAAATGCATGTGTGTGTGTGTGTGTGTATGTGTGCACAAATCTTTCTCTCTGTTGTTTCTGGTTATTTATTTTTTAAATAAAATGACTGTTGGAGTAGCTGTAAGCGGGGAGTCTTAAAAGCCAAATAAGGATTCTTTTGTGTATTCACTGCATCCAAAATCATCATCAAGTCTCAACTAGAGCTCCCTCAGCAGGGTGGACTCCGCTTCACCTGACAGACCCGGGACCCGTTCACATACCGGGCATACAGGAGAGGGCTGACCGCCTAATCTCTAAGTTTAAGGGCAAACCTGACAGGCTGCCAAAGGTGAACACCCTGCATGTTTTTTTGTTTTTGTTTGGTACATTCTTTGAGCCAACACTGTAAGTTAAGAGCACATCTATGGTTACTTGGTGTCTAATTCCTCCTTTCCGACGATTCCTCCTCTCTCCCTGGAGCCTAAGAAAAAGCCGACCCGTTTCTTTTTAGAGCAGTGGAAGTTATCCCGTGGGATGAGTGAGAGTCCAGCCTCACCACTTTCCTCTCCTGACTCCTCCAGAAAGGTCAGGTTTGGTGCTCTGTGGACGGAGACTCCCTCTGTTCTACATAGTCATGACCTCTATCGATTGTTCATCCTGAGTGGATTTAAGTGAAGCCTGTCGTTTCCTAGATATTTCTGTTGAAAGCGTCTCTAACTGAAGGGCGGGCGTTCATAGTTTACTCACCCACACGTACATATCTGCATAATTTAAAGGCTGTCTGCCTGAACTATGAAAATAATAGCTAACAAAACATCTAGGTCCTCCACCACAAGCACAAGCGTTTCTGGGAAGGACATTTTGTTTTTGAAAGGAGCAGATCATGACGTCATTTTCCCCTCTTTGCACATCTCTTCTGTGATTGAATCATCCATTTCTCTGCAGGAGCTGGCAGGGCCTCTGCACTCTGACAATCAAATGCCCTTATATGTGCTTAGTATTCAGGAGAGGGCTGAGCAGCTTGCCTCTCAGCTGGAGGGCAAAAAAGCCGGACCACAGGTGAAACACAGAAAGACCGTCTCTCTCATTTATACATGTTCAAAAAGGGAACACACAGCTACAGCAGGGTTTCTCTTTTGTTCTGTTTGACCAGGAGAACACAGACTGGTCATCTGTGTATCGCATATATGTAATATGAGGTACATTTTAGTGTGTCAACATTTAGCTACATGAAGCTAGTGACAACTGGAACCTGGAATAACTTTGAAATTATAATGAAGGAAAAAGTGAATATAAACACGATTAAAGGTCACATATTATGCAAAATACTCTTCTTCATGTGACACTAATATGTGTCTCTAGTCTGTCTACAAACCCCCCAATGATGAGAAAAGTCCATCCTCTCTGTCTTTTGTCTGCTCCACTTTTCAGAAAATGTGTGCTCAAACAGGCCGTTTGGAAATTTTCCCTTCATGACATCACAAAGGGCAGTAACCCCTCCCCCAGGTGGGTGACACTCCCACAGCTAGATGTTTGTTCTGCCCTCTGAGTCTGTCTTCTCACTGTAAACAATAGGGCATAGAGCGAGAAAGACCGAGACACCAAGCCCTTCCAGAGAGGGGGCGTGGTCAGACACAGCACATTTACATATTTAAAGGTACAGACAGAGAAACAGCCTGTTCTGAGCAGGGCTGAAATAGAGGGGTTTATAGACATGATCAAATATTTACAACAAGAAACTTCACACACATGTTTTGAGGAGCTCTGAGAGTTATTTACACTGGTTGAAAAGAAACATAATATGTGACCTTTAATTGAATATGAGAGGTAAAAAATAAAACATTACAGTCTCTCTGTTCAAGCGAGACTTGTGGCTGAACTACACTGTAGAGACAAAGCAGAGAAAAGAGATTTAAACTGTTTAAAATTTATGAGATTAAATCTTTAAGCTGTTAAAAGCTGGCTACACAGTAGACAAAGTTCCTTTTTCCGTGGTTAAGTTAATGAACTCTACTGGAAGTTACTTATTTTTTTTGAGAAATTAAAGTAGGGTCATATAGAAACAGGAAGTTAAGTACCCTTAAACCAGTACGAAAATTAAAAATAAAAGCATAACAAAAAATACTTGAATTGCAAAATAATGGAATTTCAAAAATGAAATTACTCAAGATTAACTATTTGAATTAAAATAATCATTTAACAGACTTAGTTTATTGTGATTGCTCATATTGTGATAATGATGAAAGTGCTGTTTATTGCACAGCAGTAGAAAAGTTTATCTTTTAACTGCTCCATCATCTTCTGCAGCTCATGCTCATGTGAACAACAGAAGAAATGAACGAACAGAAAACACACGACTCGTTCTTTTATATGAGTTAAGGTGATCCTTTGACCTTTGAACTGGAGTTATGAAAATTAAGTTTTAGGAGAGACATAAAGAACATGCATGTTACATAAACTAAGGTTAATGAAGAAAAGTGAGTAGTACAATATAACTTACATGCTGGTGTTTAACATGGAGGGAAAGAGGAAGAGAGTGTAGTCGTGTGATTTATAGAAAACAGTGTGCAATAAGTATTTAACTTGTCTCCTTTTTCCTCCATCCTGTGGAGCCTAAGAAAAAACCCTCACGTTTTTTTATGGAACAATGGCACCTGTCCCGAGCTCAGTCTCCCCCTGACTCTCCCCGCTCCACCTCCTCCTCCTCCTCTGACACCTTCAGACAGGTAGACCTTTCACGCCTGAAAGGAATGGACTGTGGTGACGCTAACACACCTGCACTGTTTCTAAACATGACCTAATCATCACAGAGTCTTGATTTTGAAGTTGTCTGATTGTTGTGAAATGTTAACAAACTGAATTTGCACCCCATAAATGTTTGAGTTTTTTGTTTTGTAATGAGTCATCAGCTGAGGGATGTGTCGTCCTTGACTGTGACTTTACCTGATCACATCAAAATATTCTGATCTGGGCGAGCTGTTATTTTCCCAAAGCAGTCTCTGTTGTTTGATTTGGATTGGAAGAGCAGCCTGGCAGCAGAAAAACCTTCATCTAGTGTAACTCCTATGTTGACAAGCACAGCTCCAACTGTGTCGTAGTAACAACTTACATAATTCAGCATGCCTGCAGCTCTGCAAGATCTGCAGTCTGCTCCAAGCTCATCCACTGTAACAGTTTGCATGAGTGAGGGGTCGCCTCATTTAACATGTGACCTCCATTCTTCTCATATACAGGATTTTAAAAAAGCTTTATATTAAAGACCAAAACACTAATCCTGTTGGGGGTTAATTCAGGATTCAAAGTCATGCTTGACAGCCTGTTGAATACAAATGTCACAAAAAACAATTTGAATCATCTCTTCCAGCAGATTCCTGAGTTTGATTTGAATACACAGAGCGCGTGCGTGCGTGTGTGCGTGTGTGTGTGTGCGCGTGTGTGCGTGCGTGTGTGCGTGCGTGTGTGCGTGCCGATTGTGTAACATGAACGCTGCTGCTACAGAAGCTCAGCTCCACTTAGCAGCTGTTATCTTCCAAAATGACGAGACATTTGATGTCTTCCTCTGAAATCCAGTCGTGCTCTTCGGTTGTGAGTCGTTGCACAGTGGAACCCTTTCCAATAATAATAATATAATGCCTGCACAGCTGAAACGCTCGATCGACCAAGCATGAAAACATTGCTATGTGACGTCTAAACATCCTGTCAGACACTATTGTTTCTCTTCTCGTGTCTCTGCTCGTATTGGTATGCTCAGTGATCCCCTCACACACCCCTCCTCACACTGTTTTCATGTTTTCTCTCTTCCTCATCCATCACTTTCTAACGTCTGTCCACCTTTTCTTTTCACCCCACTTCATGCTGTTGATAGCGCTATGTGAGGATGTACACAGGTGGAGTTAGCTCATTGGCTGAGCAGTTAGCCAATCAGCTTCAGTCTCAGGAAGACCCTAAACCCCTACCTGAAAAGAGGGATTCGGTAAGCCTGCTGTCCCAGAGGTAGAAGGCATGTGGCTGCACAGACAGAAGCCAGAGGGCGCTGTTTTCTCACATTTCATCAACACAATGACATGTTGTGGATACAGTGATGTGCTAGTTGTTCTGTCACAGTTTAACCCTTTATCCACCTCCCATTAGCTGTAGAAGTGTGTTTTTTTTTCTCAACAAGTACCTAACGTTGGGATAGTGATGTGTTGTTGTCAATGACTACTGATCAATAACATTGATTTGCTCTGTTGTGGTTTTTTTAATCGGTTATTAGTTAGTCCAATACCCAGACAGTGGCCTGGAGTGTGAGCTTTTTTCCCCTTCTCTCCTCTCCTCTTCCTCTCCTCTTCCTCTCCTCTCCTCTCCCCTCCTCTCCTCTCCTCTTCCTCTCCTCTTCCTCTCCTCTCCTCTCCTGTTTCCCAAAACTCATCACTCCTGTATCCTTCCACAGGGCTCCCTCAGAAAAGAGTTCCCAGTCAACCTTGGTGGCAGCGACGTTTGCTTCTTCTGTCGTAAGCGTGTGTACGTGATGGAGCGGCTGAGTGCGGAGGGGAAGTTCTTCCATCGCAGCTGCTTCAAATGCGACTACTGTGGCACCACGCTACGACTGTCCTCCTACGCCTTCGATGTGGAGGACGGTGAGACTTACATTAAAATAGATGCTCTTTCTTTATTCTGTGTCTGCTATCCTTTAATAAAGTTTCGAGACTTCAGAGGCAGCTAAATTGATTTTTTTTTTTGGAACAACACCAGAGCACATTTTCAGTTTAAAATCAGAAATAGCTGTGCAATAACAGAGTTCGTAAAAGCTCTAAAGGGATTCATAGGGATATACGGAGGCTGTAGTGCTCCAAGCAGAGGACCCGGGTTTGAGTCTGACCTGTGGCATCTTTCCCACATGTCAGTCCCTAATCCTCTCTTTCCCCAATTTGCGACTCTATCCTCTGTCTGTCAAATAAAAAGCGAAAAAAGCCCCAAAATAAATCTAACAAAAACGTGGATATATTGGAAATGTGCCACAATGAAATACAAAGGAAGTTATAAACAGCCTGCTGCAACACAGCCTAAATAGTTGGTCTAGAATTTTGGGGTGACTCCTGGGGTGGACAATCAGATTTAAATTGTGGCCCAGGCCACGCACGCCACACCCTAGCTCCGCCCCTCCCGCCCAGCCAAAGTGACCTGATACCATCCAGCTCATAGCACTTCTCACTACGCATTTCCTCACAGTACTTCCATTTAAATGACCCCAGAGGCGAGCTCATTCACATGATCCCATATCTTTCGTCTCTGGAACTCGTCCATTGTGCTCAGGGACAGGCGACAGATTGTTCATCGAGACAGAGAAGCTGTTTCTCAGTGTTAACCGTGGGACTAAAACCCACCGCTGGTCCGAGCCGAGACAGACAAGAGACGTTTTTATGAATCTAAACGACAAACACACAGTTTACTTCTAGGGATAAAGACAAAGTCTACGGACTCCTTGAGGTGTCATTTGCTGCAAATTCTATCCATAATTTGGATGTATTCATGCATTGCATTCATTTTCTCATGTGCTGTGTGTCTCTTTGTCCTGCAGGGAAATTCTACTGCAAACCTCACTACTGTTACCGTCTGTCTGGTTATGCTCAGAGGAAGAGGCCTGCTCCCTCGCCGGCTCCCATCACTGCTAAGGTACCTGGTCTGGTTTAGTAGATGAAATTCTGATGGAAGTCAAGAATGAGAATTCAGTCGTGAAGTTGATGTTCAAAGTGCAGTTAACATGGGAATAAGGTCTTTTCATGTTCTTGTGCTCTGACCTTCAAAGAGCACTTTGCTGCAAGGTGCTCAGAACCTGTCTTTCTTCCTTTTGCAGGACCACCAGGAACCCAGATCTCCCACAGCGACCGTAGATGCTCCCGGCAGGGCGATGGCAGCAGCAGCCCCCTCGGCCGACCTCCAGCCTTCAGGTACCCCACTTTCCTCTCTTGCTGTGGCGGCTGTTCCCAGCCGTCTGGCCAAGGGCGTTGGAGTCCCGCTGCGCACCCTCCGCCGCACGCTCTCCTGGACCTGCCACCAGGTGGCGCACAACCCCCTAGACTCTCCCTTCCTGTGCACCTACTGCATCTACCTCTTCTGCTGTTTCTCCATCAATGTCCTGCTCAACCTCCTCTAGCATGACTCTCTAGTCCCTCCTCTTTTCCCTCCTTCCTTACCTCCTTTGAATCTTGGCTTACTAATGTGAGTGGGACAGATAGCTGATTGTGTTGACTCACTGAGCCTGCAGAGTGTTCATGTACATCTTGTGATTCTTTGTCTCGGTGATTGATTGATTTTCCTGAAGATGCAGCATTCTTTCTCTTTCGGTCAGCAGCCTCTTTATGACCTGTGATTGGCAGACGCAGGTTGCTCTGGCAGCAGAATGAAGGGTGCATCTTAAACTTAATTAATTTTCTTGGCTTTGTGATTAAAAAAAAGAGTTGAGCAGAGTTCTTTCTGGTCAGCTCTCCAGGCTGCAGTATTTACTCTCTTGTAAAGCTTCCTATCATAGTTTTGAGATTGCAGCTTTATTTGACAAACAATATTGGTGAAAAAATTAGCATTTATCAATGAAGTCATATATATTAAGCTAACTGTGCAGCTGCTGCCTGTGTTTTTAATGAAAAGCCAAGCTTTCCTCTTCAGTGATTGTAACCTCTAGTGGCCTGTGACTGCTCTCTTTAAGCTCCTCCTCCTCTGTGACGTGTTTCTTTTAGAGCCTGCTTTGTGATGTGTTTCTTTCTCTCTGTAAGCTGTTTTGCACCCTCAGCCCCCCCCCTCCCCTTACTGAAACCCACCTTACTGTGATGAAGTGCCTGTATAAGTGCTTTTGTAAGCTTTACCTTTCCCCCTCCTATCAGAGCAGCTTAAATCTGAGAGCTCGACTAGCGCTTGAATCAGTGCCTGTGATTGGTTCTCGTGTGATTTTCACTCCTCTGTCTGACATCCTCGGTTCCCCCGTCTTCCTGCATCCCTCTCCCTCACACCTCGACAGACTGCTGCTAAGAACCACTTGTGTTTGCTCAGAACAGAGCATCTTTTCTGCATCTACTGCTTTGCATATTGTAGTCAGATATAAAAAACGTGACAGAACGGGGCAAAGAAAAGAATAATATCAGTATTTAAAATAGGTAAGGTATTTAACTCAGTAAAGTGTAGGCCTGCTGCGTTTGTGGCATGTTTAGTTTTGTTAGAACTTCAGTGTCTCCTTATAAATAAGTTAATGTTGTAAACAGAGGTACGCTTGATTTAAGATATTAGATTATAAGATATTCTCCTTACTTAATATATAGGTTATAGGGAACAATGGTCGTCAAATATTCACATCATTACGTTCAGAAATAAACTGCCATCTTACACCTAAAGATATGAACTAAAGACTTGCAAAAAGTCAAAGTTAAAATAAGATTTTTATATCTTTTTTGAATCATTACTTTGTAACTTTGAGCGATTTCAGTGACAGAACGATAAAAGGTTAGTTAGTGGTAAGTCTATAAAAATCTGAAGAAAAAAGGCAACAGGTTGCTCAAGCGGACGACCTCCGGTGTTGAGAAATGATGCTGAAGTGTAAAATCCTGCAGTTCATTGAATGTCCACTAGAAACTGGCTGCAGACGCACAGGAAGTCACATACACACCCATTCAAAAAAGCAGTTTTTAACAGCATAAATAAAGATGTTTACAGCCTGGTACAAAAAAAGAAATTAAGTCTGATTAGTTATTTTCATCACGGGCACACACTGCACGGGGGTGAATTTTTGATAACGCATCCATTTTGATTTTATGAACGTTACAAGTTCTCCATAGTTAGGCCCCGTGTCCACCTAGCGTTTTGTTCTGAGCGCCAGAGTCTCTTTTCAGAGTTGTTTTCAATGAGTAGAGAGCGCTTGCAGCAGAAAGCAGCCGCATGGAGAAAAAGCTCAGCAAGCGCAAGCGCTCTGCCGTCTTTGTGCGGCTGCTCCGAGCGTTCAAGTTGAAAATCTTTAAACTTTTCAGAAAGGCGCTGTTGACGTCACCGGTGCTCTTTTCAAAATGTATGATATTTCCTGCTACAGATCGTGATCTTGTACCCACATCCTCCTCGCTCCGTGTCTCATACGTAAGATTTACAGTAAAAAGTAACAGTGTTGGTCACACAGCGGCCGTTGTCAACAGACTGTTGTCATAGAGACGGGGCAGACGAGCAGCGCTATTTTGCCAGGAAAAAACGCTAGGTGGACCTTAGGCGTAGCTGACATGATTGACAGGTGGGCGTGGTATAACTGTTTATCATAAGGTTTAAAACCCTCCTCAGCTCCAGCTCTCAGCCTGTCGTTAGGTTGACTGAAAGTTGGGTTGAGACATTTCCAGCATGGTGTCTGCTGATGAGCCTCCAGCGCCCCCTACAGGAACAGATGGCTGACGTCACTCAGGCTTCATCCATTAATATTTACAGTCTATGGCGTCTCTTCAGCCGTTCAATTAGTTATGTTAAACAAAAAATATCATGAGAAAATGAGATTTTCATGAACATAATAAAAAGTTCAGGGCTTCTTTCCTCGCTGAGAGAAAGAAAGGAAACTAATGAACCCATTTGACCCGTTTTGTCATCTTCACATCATCACTTATTCTGAAGTATCAAATATCACACATTCATTGTCTCATCGATTATTTGTACACAAGGTTAGATTTCCTAATTTGATGATTGGAGTAGGATCTCTTAAGTTAAAAAACGATTTGATCCATTCCACAAATAAAAACTCAAGACGTTAAAGACAAATAAGAAAAAAAGCAGCTTTGAGATTTGCTTGTTAGGATGGGAAAAAGGCAAGGCACTCCCATATTACTGTAGTATGACAGAATAATCGACTACCAGTGTTAAACTTATCTGTGTTTGTTGATACCTTCTGCTGTAGGAGTTTAACATTAATGCAATAAATTCAGTTGTAGATCTTCAATCGGTGTGTCCTTGTCAGTTTGTCCTCAACTATACAAACTTGTTTGGGTCTGTTTGGAAAATATGGATGGATAAAGTTAATATAACTATTAAAGAAAATGGTCTCATGTCATAGTTGGATGTGTGATGGATTTGATGCTACTGGATGTGCATGCTAACACGTTACTAAGTTTTCAAAAACAGCGATTTGTTTGTTTCCTGTTCATCTCCAACGACACAAGAATCAACATTTAGCCCTGCATGCTTCCTGCACTGCAGAGGCTTATCTTACTCCTCTGCTCCCCTCCTTTCTATTCCTGCTCCTGCCTCATTCTCTGGTTTTTGTGTTTCCCTCTCCCCCCCCCCGCATCCTGCTGCCACCTCTGATGTCATCACGTCACCTGTGCTCACCTGTCCGCCTCAGTACCGGAGGTCAACGGCCTGCAGGAGCCCAGCCTGGCAAAACGTCTGCGGGGAACTCCGGAGCGCATCGAGCTGGAGAACTACCGTCTGTCCCTGCAGAAGGAGGAGGAGCTGGAGGAGGTGCCCGAGGAGACGCTGGCAGAACACAACCTCAGCAGCGTGCTGGACAAGGGCACAGACGCTGACGACCTGGGCTCCAGGTAAAGACACAAAAAATAACCCGGATAAGCAAAGAAAAGGGGGATTTGATTTAGCAAAGTGCTTCTCACGTATTTACTTTTTCCTGCCGGTGGGTGGAGTAGGAAATAGGGGAGGGATAAGGGGAATGACAGGCGGGATAGGAGTCACAGGTCGGACTCAAACCCAGCCGCCGGATTGGAGGACTATAGCTTCTGTACATACAACCTGACCTTACCATGAGACCATCTGTGTCCCTAATGGATCAATTTGAATATTTAAACCTCCACTTGAGCCTGTTATAATTCACATTGTTCTGCAGCACACTTCCTTTTTTTCTATGCATCATTGTTTCAGACTGACGGTATAAGGTCAAAAGAAGGTCACTTCTGTCTGCCATAAATGGGGACAGTCCAATAAATGAATTATTTAAAAAAAAATCAATTAAGGCTCATCATCTTATGTGAGAACGTTTTGCATTCAAGCCCCCCAAGTGAAAGTAAATTCCTTGTTACATTTGTTCTGCTTTTATTATTTGTTCTGACTCCTCCTCTGTCCTCCAACAGCAGCTCCGAGTCAGACATGGAGGAGGAGGACGAGCAGGAGGATCAGGATCAAGACCATTACCATGATCAGGATCACTATCACTATCAGGATCAGGATCAGGTGGAGTTGGAGCACCATCCCGGCAGCCCCTCGGACCTCGGCGGTGTTCCCTGGAAGGAGGCAGTGGAGCTCCACGCCAAACTGCGGGGCGAGGAGGGGGAGGGCGATGCTCTCGGTGATGCTGTCAGCCGAGACGGGGAGGTAGACGAGGAAGAGGAAGAAGAAGAAGAAGAAGAAGAGAGGAGGAGGAAGAAGAGTCAAGTGATGGTAAATTTGTTTTTTATCTCTTGTTCCCGTGAAGACTGAGGATGTATTTGTCTTTTGTCAACCCCGTGTCCAGACGCCATTACCTGTTAGAATCTCCCACCTGCTTTAAGTCATAAATCTGTTTCCTGTGAAGTGTGAGTCTCAAACGTTGTTATCCTCATCCTCTGCTTCTTTCCTCCTCTTTCGTCCCCTCCTCTTCATTACCTCCCTGGTCTGACTGTGTTTGTGTTTGTGTGTGTCTATGTGGATCTGTTTTTTTTTTTTTTGTTGGGTCTTTGTCTCCCCCTGCTGGCAGAGGGGGATTACTGCCCCTGGGATAAAGAGCTCCAGTCAGGCCTTTGGCTGGAGAAGTACCTCACAGATGAAGAGGATGTTGGTACATTCAAAGGTAGCAGCAGAACTGCCTGTGGATGTGTTTGCTGTCACTTTGAGCGTGGAGTTTTAATCCTGGCTGGCTTTGGAGTTTGACAAAAAAAAGTCTTTCTTTTACTTGGTTTTTTTTCCCGTTTGTGTTTTTTTTTCTTAGTATTTGTGTTTCTTTGAGTCTCATCCAAATCTAACCTCCTGTTCACTCCTCTGTTTTTGGTTTTTCGCTTTAACACACTAATCAGATAAATGTGTGAGATTTTGTTGTGTTTCCCCTTCAGGTGTTGCAGTTATTGTTTGATAATAAGTGGCAAGAAATATTCTGCTCAACAAATGGATATTATTTCTTTCTTTAATCTTCTATCTTTTTGCAGTGTAGTGCATGCAGCCTCCCTCCGCCTCGCCGATCTGATTAGATTTGATTGCATCTGTAATCTAATTCTCTCTCTGCCTTTTCTTTTCCATGTTTCCTGTTGTTCCATCCTCTCCTCTTCCTTTACTCGATGTCTCTATCTGTCCTCCACATCTTTCTTCCCTTTATCTTTCTCTGATATCCACAATCACACACACAACTCCTCCACCACCCCAAACACACACACACACACACGCTGCATCATACGGTGACACTGTCATACAGCCAGGAACCTTCAGATCCAACAAGTCCTGCAGCCTGTGGATCCCCAGAACATCCCAGGTTTGGTGAGAACACACCGGGACTCTGAGGGAGAAAAGGACGGTCAGACGGCCTCGGCCTCCCAACTCTCCCAACCCTCCCACCCCTCTGAGCTCACGCAGCCCCTCCTCCACAGGTAACCCCCGCCCCCTCGCCCCCCAGAGGAGCTGAACACCTGGCAAACACCTTTTGATTGGCAGCTGTAGGCCCCGCAGAGTGAAGGATCAGAGTGTTGGTTTCACCAGTTTGGCTGCTGCTGTTCTGTTTGTCCGTCTGTGTCTGCGACAGGAGGAGACCCTCCCCAACTAACCCCCCCCCCTGTTGTTAATAATCATCTCTGATTTTGTACATTTGTCACGTTGCTTTATTTTGGAATGTCTCATTTTGTGTTCAGTCTTTTAATTTGTCGTTCAGAGTCGCTGTTGGTCCTCTGGGGTCAATTTAAAGCTCTTCAGCGACTCTCCCAGTGCACCATATAACCCCTTTGTCAGTCCTTTTTGATTTTGTTCTGCTTTGTTCTTTTGTGTTCTGCTGTTTTCTTTCCCATGTGTCTAATTACTTTACCGTTATTTCCCTGCCATCTATCCCTCGTTGTTGTGTACCCTCTGGTTTGAACGTAGCCCCCCGCCCACACATCCGCCCGACACGAGGCAGTGAGAGTCTGGTTGGAGTCCTTGTCTGGAGGTAGCACAGACTTTAAAGGGATCACGACATCCCATCTTAGACTCGTTGCTCTATCTGTCTTATCGGCTGGCATTTTCCTGGAGCATGCAGTAAACACGGAAAAAACTCACAAGCATGCATTCTGCAACAGCGACACTCTGAAGAACACCTGTGTTTCACCTTTAACTCCCACAACTCTCATCCTTCTCTTCTAACTTTCAGAACATGTATGTCCTCCTAACTCACACAGTACCTGCTCTGATATGTGATGTATTTCAGGGAATGATTCAGAGACTTAAAAATCACTTAACAGCACACTTGCTGCCCTGATGGGTAACGAGTGACGTCTTCCACTTGAAAATCTGCTCTGACTGCTTACATGCTGCTCTAACACCACTTGTTCCTGCTTTAAGTTCAGATAATGAGGCTGTGGAGACACTTCAGAGTCACTATTTATGAACTGTTCTAACTTGAATGAAGGGAATGAGAGCGCTTCACATTTTTTCATTTCATAGACAGCACTTTATTTCTGGCGCTAAAAGCAAAGTGAAGATCTCTCAAATGTTCTTTTTAGTACGTAGCTGTGCACCCTCTGCACACCGGCCAATTTAGAGCATTTAGCAGAAGTGACGCCTCCACGGTTTTGACATTCTTTCAAAATTGCACGAGTTAACCGTGAGGGTCATCCTGGTAGAAGCTTTGTAAAAGACATCCTCCCTTGAGGGACTGCTGCTCGTCTCATTAACATTTTGGTTGCTCTGCTGCTTTGGTTCAAATGTCATCCATTTGAGAATAAAAAAACAAAAAATGGATAGCTGCATGTTTCTTTCACTGCTGCTCCTCTGTGTCTACTCTTTGTTGTTTTACTGTAAAGGTTTTCACTGGTCTGAAAAATGAATGGAAAAAACCTCTGGCAGGAAAAATTGATTTTTGGTTTTGATACCTTAACATCATTTTTTTTTGTTTCCTATAACTGCACTCAGTCTCTCAGATTCAGTCCAAATAGTATGCTCATTAAGTGATGTAGAGAATGAGGTGCTCTTTGTTCAGTGCAGCTTAGGTTTGTAGTTCTTGCTCTGTTGTTGAATACGGAGAGAGAACATGTAACCGGATGACTCATGTCTTGCCATTTCTTTGTCAGACCCCGGTGAGGATGAAGATTTGGAAGATTTGGAGGCAGAAGCAGACAGTCCGGATTTGGAGCCCGGCACCGAGATGGATCAGGGTGAGCTCGCAGAATCATAATGAATCTCTCCATTCTTCCATGACTTGTTGGCTTACAACAACAGGAAATCAATACTGAGATGTAGGAGGATGAGGAGTTACACATCTGTGTCAACTTTCTTTTATTTTGATCATGTTGTGTGTAAATTCCAGATGACATCCCTTCAGATGCAGAAGCTGAGGCTCGTTTGCATCAGTCGGAGCGTGCTGAAGTCCTTCCTGAGGAAGATAAGAAATCTGACAGTCTGAGAATGACCTCCAGTATCGGTACATGCTTCTAATTATTACTTAAACTCAGGGCGCGCTCACACTAGGCAAACTTGTCCTGTACCTACTTAAGCATGATTGTCCCCCCTCCCCATTCCTCCGCTGGCCTGCACTCACACTGCTCCAGGACTAACCGGGCCTGAGCATGGTTAGCTCTCGTACATAATGTCATAATACAACACATGCATGTCTTTACGTAATAAGAAGCGTGTTTAGCTTACAAGACAGACGGGCTCAAAAATAAAAAAGGGACGCGTTATCCTTGTCTGCACATCTGAGAACAAGACAGAGTTTTTACTGAGTTTGAGGCTTATTTTGAGTCATGTTAGTCAGATACAGACAGAACACTCTGGGATTTCTCAATAATGAAGGCTGTCCTCGTTGTTTACCCGTGCTTGTGCTTGTGTATGAACTGTACCGTGCCAAAGCACACCTCTTCAAACCCTGCCAGGGTTAAGTGTAGCGTGCTCGAGCATAGATCTGAACACTCTCACCTGTCAAACAAAGTGGACTTTAGGGGTGAAGCGCGTGCTTAGGCAGGGTACGGATTGCCTTATGTGAGTGCGCCCTTACAGTGAAATACAGTATATGAGAGATGATTTTCTTTTGTATTCAGTTCACAACGTGCAGCTGTGTCTCTCTTTTGGTAGCATTTGTTCTGACCATGGGGAGTTTGTATCCGTGCAAGCTATCACTACTGTAGCTAAGCTCTCAGCTGAGCCTACGGTGACAGCACAGACCAACATCCTGGGAGACATGAGATGAGATGAGATTCAACTTTATTGTCATTACACATATACAAGTATAGAGTAACAAAATGAGGTTTGACATCTCACTAGAATTGCAGTAAGCAGAAAGTGCAAGAGTCTGTGCTATGTACAGTAATTACAAAAATTTACAGATGTAGACTAAAAAAAGTGAATTATTGGGTAAATATGGCTGGATTAATGGGATGCTATAAATATAAATAAATGCTATAAATATAAGTATATTTTTAGGATTATAATATACAGATTAAGGTGCAGTGAGCATGCTATACTAGATTACAGATAATATACAGAATATGGACATATTGTACAGGTCGATAACTTATTGGGGTGATATGAACATACTATAATACAATAATACAGGTGGATGAGAGATGTGTGTGTATGACCAGGAAGAGTGGTGGGATGATGATGGGTGTGAGGTGATGTGTAGGGGAAGGGGGGTCAGCGGGGGGCGGAGTTCGGGAGGGAGACAGAGTTCAGAGTTTGGGGGGCAGAGTTCAGTAGAGAGACAGAGACATGCTGCACCACCATCACTTGTTGGAGTTTTTTTTTCAATCAAACCATCACTCCACTGAGGTTTATTTACTCTAAGGTATACCAATGCTTTCTAATGAAGGGAGAGAAGCTGCCTGGTCCACGTCGAGATGTTCTTTATGTTAGCTCACTTGGAGATAAAGGGGGGGCGAATCTTCAATCACATCAGGTCGCTTACAGTGAGTGATGGTGGCAGCTGCACTTGCGGTCATGGCGGCACGGCTCATATAGGTTTAGGCCTAGTGTGATATTGGGCGCGTCAGTATAATGGACGCAGCCCTCTCTTTAGATGGAAAAATAATAGGTATTAAAATTGTGTCTCATACACCGAATTTTATGGATTAATTTATTTTCAGGAATATAAATCAACATTTTTTTGTTTGTGCATTCAGAGCCGTC